TTTCAATCCATTTATTTGTCATTTTTATTGTAGACAAATAACTATATTTTCATAACTTCTTTTGTTTTAAGACAAAGCCTCATGTGGCCTCATGTAGCCAGCGCAAGGCTGGCCTTTAATTCATTATGTAGCTGAAGGTGAATTTCAACTCCTCCTGCTTCTACTTCCTAAATGCTGGGCTTACAGACCGATATTACCATATCTACTATTCAGAATTGTTATTTGTTTATTATCACATCTTTGTTCCATGCATAATCTTCATTTTCTCTTAAAGTATAAGGTCATAAACATTTTCTTACTTACATAAGCAAGGGCAAAATAAGATGTAATGGAAGGCTTACTTCTAATGTCTATGAATATAAATGAAACTATTTGTCTTTGAGTCATGCTTCAACCCTGTTTCAACATGTTCTAAGAAATCTTGAAATTTTTGTGGGTAAAACCACAAAATTTAATTTCTTTTTCATTGGAACATGTACTAGAACAAGCTTTTGGTGTTATAACCATTGTGTTAAATGTAATATATGCCAGAGAGTATAAGTCATAATTTTAACAGTTTTTAAAGTGAAAACCAATCATTGGAAACCTGTATGTATTCTCCTGTAATAAGACAGGTGAAAGTCACCAAGACATATGTATGTCTTTGATGTAATGTTACAACTTCAGGTGGTTTAGCTATTTGATTTGAGGCATGTGTCTATAACCTTCTGAAAATTTATTTATCTTACAGTAGGCAAATTTTCTAACAATTATTATTGTCCTAAAGTATAACATTTTCCTGTTCAACATCAGATGTGTGCACAAAGGGACTTAAAATTTATGGAGTTTTATGAGCTTGACACAATGTTCTTACATAGTAAGTGTCAATGTTTTTTTGCTGTTAGTTTTATTGTCTTTTTCCTGCTTATAAAAAGAATATTGCAAAGGTGAATAAAATAGGGATTGCTATAATCCTGCCCATGAAGTTCTATATTAAATTACATGTTAGAGCTTTGTCTAAGTGTAGCTGTTTACAGAGATTTTAAAAGGGTGTTACTTTGGTCAAATATCAGGCAGTTTGAAAAAAAATGGCCATACTTCTATGAACTGTTGGTGTTTGGCAATGACTATATATATATATA